CTAACTTTTTTTAATTTTTTTAAACTACTATTTTTCAGAAGTCTGCAAAACTGAAGAGAAAAGCATTTGTGGTGGAGTTGAAAAAACAGGCTGGTATCAAGCTGGAGGACTATTTTAAATCATTTTAATGGATCATATTTTCAGATGTTAGCTGGATGGAGATGTAGACGTTTAGTTTTATGTTCTTGTACTTTTTTCTTTCTTTCTGGAGTTGAGCTGATAACACAACTATGACTAAGGAGCTGCTGAATGGAGGGACAGGCAAGGATGGCCACAGATACATCCAAGTGTTTCAGCCGGTGTTTACAAGTGAACAGAGTAACAGGAATTGTAAACCCCAACATGCGACCAAGAAAGGCACCTAGAACAGATACAAATATTTGTTGTGGTTTAAAATTTCTGGTATTTTTTTCATTGTCTTCTTCCTTTTTCTTCTTTGTTCTAGTAAGCTGTAAGCTCCAGTAGAAAGTCCTGGCTGTTCATCCATTTGGTCTTGGACTTTGTGCCAGGACCTGAGCTTTGCGTGTGCATCCGTGTTACTGGCTTATTTTTGTGCAATTGGTTGTTCTTTGCCACTGGAGCAGATGCACTTTGAAGAAAGTCCCCAATTAGCTGACTCCTACAACTTGCTTGTTTGGAAGGCGGTGGGTCTATTTTTGTTTTCCCCAAAATGGGGAGCCCAGAACCCACATAGGAATTTTGTTTATTGAATTAACACTTTTGGTTGTTTTTGTCTTTTCTTTCCCTCTTTTGAGTTACTTCATCTTAGTTTGTGATTTTCTTGTGCGAAGACACTCTGGAATATAGGCAATAAATGAGCTGACCTGCTTGCAGTCAGGGCCACAGAAGATACTAGAAAAGCAATAGACCGGACCAATAGCCAATGGTCTCAAAACTTTCAAGTATTTTCAAGGAGGCAGGATGAGTAGATGAATCATGACAGAGGTTGTTTAATCAGCAACATTGACAGGACTTCAAGAACTTCATGTCAAAAGAGTTATTGCTGGTTATGAACACTATACTGGTAGCCAAAGAAGAATAGTAAACCAATACAGAACTGATTTGATCAGTCACACCACATACTGAGGTAGATACCAATGGTGGAATTTGAACACTTATTGACTTGTCGGATGTGCGATGAGGATGACAATTAACTAACTAACTAGTTTGTAATTTGTTAACTTCTTGAACTATTACGTAGCCTGAGCGTAGTCAATCTTATCCATCATTACTGCACTTTAAATATATTTATTATTCCTTGAAAAGTATTTACTACAACCTCAGCAAATAAAAGGTCTTTAAAAAAAACTATTGAGAATATGCATTTTTTTCGTTTGAAATGTACACACTGATTCAAACACATTTGTGCAAAATGGAACAGACTGAGTTCATTATTCTTTATAAATCACATAGATATAATGTATATTTTCCTGTATAATTCGCACTAAATTTTTATTAGTCAGGAGAAATAATGGTTTCGTTAGTCTGAGAAACAGTATTCTGTTTTAACGGCCAGCGTAATGCTGACCACATTAACTACCTAGTGCGATGGTCTGTAAAAATATGGGCCCAATATGCCCGATGCGCTTAAAGCTTAAAAAAAAGATTTTTACTTTTACCTTTTATTCTGCAAAGGCATGTATGTGTGTAAAGAACATTTTTAAAAGGACACTGGGACAGCTAGCTCCCTCTTACAACATGTCACTCCTAATCAGAACAAGGAAACATCTCTTACAAAGCACATTCATCCCCACCCTATTCTATTAGAGCCAGACACTGTTACTCGCAGCAAACCAGAAAAGAAAATTAGTAACTATGGAAATGTCTGAGAAAAGCTGCAAGAGTGACCAGAAGAGAAAACATCGGGGATGAAATTATAAGAGAAACAGCTGGCATATAACCAATACTAAAGCTGTAAAAGAAAACATCACGAATGAAATTATAAGAGAAACAGCTGGTATGTAACCAATACTAAAGCTGTAAAAGATAACATAAGGAATGAAATTATAAGAGAAACAGCTGGCATAGAACCAATACTAAAACTATTAGAAAACATCAGGGATGAAAGTATAAGGAGAACAAATAGCATATAACCAATGCTAAAGCTGTAAAAGATAACAAATAGATCAAATAATAGGGTTTGCCCACTTAGAGAGAATATCCTAGCATACAAATCATATACTAAAGTAGAAGAGGGACATACAGCACAAAGTAGACCAAGAGCAGTGTGAAAAGACCATATCAGAGAGACAGTACAAAGTATCTATAGTTGCGGCTGTCAAAAAAGCAAGAACCAAAACATTATTTTCCCTTTGAGACCTGATGTCATTAAACAGGAAGTGAAGAAGAAGGAGAAAGAAAATAAAGCTCACTGTAATTTTATGAATTTTATTTGACTATGTTTTACACAGCTATTTTGTATATTTCAGTTGTTTTACCATGTACAAAGCTAAAAAAACAAAAAATTCAGTTATACTTTTTGGTTCAGTAGCTTATAGTATGTTGCTTTATACTGTGAATTCAACTGTTTACTATGCACAATAATATATAACCCAATTACCCACTTTTCATTGTAGTGGGCTGGGTGTTGTAAGATATGAAAAATTCAACTTAGCAGTAAAATTCAGAATGTTTTTATAACTATTTGAACTTTTTTGTAACACAGTATGCTAAACTGTGCTCAAAGATGTATTTTTGCTTGTTTGTTTGTTTGCTTCACAGAAAAGCTTTTGTATGTGATAAAAAATATCAAAGACACACCTGATTGCCTCTGTCTTATTTCTTATCTAGTCTAGCTACAGTTTATTAGGTAATTTCTTTCTTTACTATCATCATCTTCATTAAGTGCCGTGCTAACTGTCATGGATAATCATGCTTCTTTACATCTTGTGATCTCTAACTTTGTCATTTAATGTGCTGACACCTTTCCACACCACGACACCAGCAGTCAAGAATTTTCTTTTATCATCTTCCTTTATCTCTCCATAAAGCTTTCCAGTTGTCAAAACATGTTTCAGTTTTCTCTTTCTATTAGGTGACCAAATAAAATGAACTACAATAAATGTATTTTAATAAAAGTTTTTTTTTTTTTTTTAGTCAATTTGAACAATACAGATACAAACAATACATTGCACAATCTATAACAAGGTACATTTTACTGTATCTCATCAGGTACATTACTACGGAAATACTACAACATATAATGAAGCAGAAAAAACTGAGTGAATACGCATCACTCAATACACTGTTATTTTTGTCGCCAGAAGTTCACAATAGTCACATGACTTACCAGGGTAACTTAAAATTGTTTATGAGTTCCTTCTGTTTACATAAAAGGGGTTGTTCATTTTTATTGTTAAACCTTCAGCTGGTCTCAGCATTTGCCTGTTCAGTGTGTGGTAAATAACACAGAAGGCACTGTCCTTGTCAATTACAAGTGAGATCCTATTGAAGGAGAATACTTTCCTTTTGTATGGTTTCAACACCACTGCAGAATCACATAATCATACACAGAGCCATTTGGGTAAATGTTCTGGCACTCCGTTTCCAAGTTGTCTCTCCATTCGACCAATATAAATCAATTGTAACTTACATATTAATTGATAAATACAATTGGATATGGTGTACAAAGAAACTAATTCTTCAACAGGCAAGGTTGGGATGGAATTGGTCTTGTATCTCACCACCAGAACAATGGCAAAAAACATTTGGCCAGCAGCCTAAACTAAATGCATTTTTGGATTTTATTTCTCATATCAGTAATTCTGTTTTGTGGCTCATTTCTGATATTTTTATCTCCTGACATAAGATTTACATAAGATTGTAGGAAAGATGTCCTGCAGTAGCTCAAGTATTACATGGTCACCACATTAATTTGTCTATGTATTTAGACATGTTATGAGAAAGAATAGACTTGAGAACTTAGAGACAGCTGGCAAGATTGATGGGAAAAGAGCAAGCGAAAGACAAAGTGATAAATACATATGCATGGATGGCTTGGCCACATTATTGGGGACTGGACATGAGCACTGACCTAATCCTTTATTTTGGTGATTGTATGGGAATGTGAGCGGCGTCCGGGGCTTAGGCGTTGCGAGTCCGACTCGTAATCCAACGTACTGCTATCGACACCCACTGCTGGCTGCGTGGATTTTTATCATGGTATGGGGCGACCCAGCCTAAAATGGGTACCAGGATGTCTGTCCTGGGAAATTAAAGACAGCCGGCGTAATGCTGACCACATTACCCCTCCAGTGCCAATTGGTCTGTAAAAATATGGGACACTCTTTCCATATACCCGATGCGCCTAAGGTGTGAAAATGGGATCTTTAATTCACTTACTTTTATGGGAAGTGAACCTGACCGCCTACATTTATCAGAAGGGTACATGATGATGATGTTTTTCAGATCAGATCAGTTATCTTCACCAGTGTACACAACAGGGAGGAGTTCTCTCCCCGATTCTTTTTCTGATCAACATGAACAATTTCAAGCAAGTATTGTCCCCAGTGTCATGGCTTCCCAATATGCTGATGACGTGGCACTCCTTTGTTCAGCATACTTTCTCAGAAGAACCTGGCCAAGGCTGCAGACAAACCTTGACAGACTAGAGAATGGTCAGAACACACGGCCATGAAAATCAACACCACCAAAACAATGTACACCACATTCACCTTATCCTTTATATATTCACCCTACCCACTAAGCAGCTCTCAATATGTCAGAGAAAATGGAGGATATACCTTATACAACAAACTGATAAACCCAGATATCTAGGATTTACCTTCGATGCAAGGCTGACATTGAAGCTGCACATTGACAAAAACAAAGATTATTAAAGACTGCACTTGTTTTTAAAAAAGAAAACCCAATAGGGAGTGAATACTAATAGAGTGAATACTTAGAAACATTTTCACTAGATATGTTTGCCCATTTTTACAATAAGACTGCCATGCATTTGGAACTATTTAAGTCACAAATTCTTTATTTATAAATTGTGTTCACATGTGGTCACGACGATCAAGGCTTCTTTTTGTAACATCTTTCAGGTACTTCTCCTTGGCCTGATTTTTAAGATCTGCAGATTCATTGCTTGTAAGTGCAATTTTATGATTGCATGCAAGTGAACCTTTCACAACACCTTCAATCACAAAGTCCATTTTGTCTATAACCACTTTCCCATTCTCTGTCACAATCTGAGCACAGGAAACTGAATTCTTGAATGGGTCTATAAGATTGTTAACATAATAGACAAACACTTTCTGTCCATCTGACTTCCTTTTGATATAGATAGGGGCACAACCTTGTGGCATGGACATGCGTGAGATGATCTTGAATGTAGCATTAAGATTTCTTTCCTCCAGTTGGACATTAGCAGTGTAGCAGCTGTTTGGTCCAACCGCAATGTCGCTTGTAGCTTCCATGACCATAGTTTCCTCAAATTTTTGGCCATCACTTTTCGTCACCTGTATTGAATGGTTAAACAAGAATTTAACAACAAAATTATCGTAAGTTTTTCCTATAATGCTTAGCTCTCGTTATTGCTCATGTTCATATAATGCTAAAGAACATTTAATGAAGTTAATGATGAAAATGATGTAGATGCTCAAAATGTGATAGCATACATTACATTTTCATTAATTCAGAGGTATAATTCTTTTCTCATTTCTCCAGTTCTGCTCGAAACTGTTTAGACAAGTCATCACATCATTAATGTTTTCAATGTCTACGTTATCTCCCCACACATTTATGTCTTCAGGTGCCTCCTCCTCCTCATCTATCCGGTCTTCAGCAGGGAACTACTCTTTGAATTTGTCATCTTCTTCAAGACGTCCCAGATCTGGTTTAGCTGGGTTGTCAGCCATGTCATTTATTATCGGTGCCTTTCAGAAAAGCACAGAGTTGTAACATTGGGTGAGTAGGTAATGTGTCCCCTTCAGAACTGCGGTCTGTAAGATTAACTCTTTGAGTCCCAAGGGACGCATTATACGTTCATAGGTTTCCACCTAGAGGCCTAATAAACACAAGATGCGCCGATTTTACATCTCTTTTGACTACCCCTTGGGCCTCTGATGCCTAGCCCTCTGGGACTCAAAGAGTTAACACCTGAAGGATGTGTAAAACCCAGGAGCTCTATTCAATCCCATAGCAGTTACTTGTACCTGAAGTCTAGAACTGGTGGGTGAACTATGAATGGTAACACCACACCATAACAAAGCATGTTGTAAGAGGATACTGAAGGTCAGGTTGGATTTAGCTACCTCATCCCAAAAAAAATGTTCAACTGGAAAAGCCAACAAGCTATGGAGATGTCTACAAAAGCTTATTTCCCATTGGAGGATCAGAAAAGAAGAAGAATTCTTTTAATTGCACCACAAGTTTTGTTTGTGCTTATCTTCATTTATAAAAGTAAAGGACCCGTTTCCCCACAAGCCTCACTGCATTATCATCATCATGTACCTTCTGGGGCCCCATGGGTGCAAAAGGTGGGAAGGTGGGGGAATAGATCCACTGCCCCCTAACAAGAATGTTGTAAAAGGTGCATCTGTCTGAGAGGCGAAGGACCAATCGTCTGCATACAAATAAGAAGAGACTAATCATCAGAACTCCCCTCCTAAATTTACAACCAGTTAACGGCAAGAAGGAGAAGAAGATCAAATTGTGCCATGCCAGTAAGCGCAGTTGCATGATTTGCCCTCTCATACCACAATCACAGATCATATTATTGTTCTTGTCTCACCCCATCCTTGTGGCTATGTAATCAAGTTGTTTTTTTTCTATTTGCCTTCCTATTGCTCTGTTTCCACTAATCTTACCAGTTGGTTCATAGTTCTCGAGTTCATTCTTTCTTATAAAGCGTCCAAAAAACTCAGACTGTCTACGTGAAATCATGATTGCTCTTGGCTTCTTGAAGGAGGATGTTTACCATTTCTTTCCTTCTTGACGATCATATTAGTCGGGTACCGCAGCCGTTGTTACTATAGCCTGATCAAGACCGGCTTTAGTTGACAGGCCGTGCTGCTGACGTCACCAGGTCGGGCTAGAGATGCGTTAACGCGGTGGTTCTAAAACAATAAATAAACTATTTTCGACCGTGGCTAGGAAGGACAACTTAGATTTTTAACTTTCAAGTATCTACATTCCTTCTTTAATAATTTCACAATTTTTAGCCGACTTCACTTGATTATTTCCGCAGCTCCCCTAGCATACGCTAACGGCACCCCAGTGTGCTTCGGCACCCAGTTTGAGAACTGCTGCTTTAACGCATCGTTAGCCCGACCCGGTGACGTTAGCAGCACGTCCCGTTAGCTGGAGCCGGTCGTGGCCTGATCCTCCGCCTACCATCAGGAAATAGTTGATCATGATCAATAACTATCTGTCTGCTGCTCTCAAGTTCAGTTCACCCTTTACCCCCTGACTGGTTCCGCCCCACCCCCCAAAAAAGTACAGTTAACCTTCAATTAATCGTCATCGTCCGGTCCGGGGCCCTGACTAAGACCGGCTTAAGCTGACGGGGGATGCTGCTGACGTCACCAAACCAGACTAACACGTTACGCTAACGCAGCGATTCTCAAACTGGGTGCCGCGAGCGTATGTCAGTTGTGCCCTGGCAACAATCAAGAATTTTCCAAATCTGCTTGACATTAAATTTGCACTGGTTTTTTATTTTTTTTTTCTTCAAGTGTTCAAACCGCTTTAAGGGTTAGGTGTGCCGCGAAATTTTGTTTTTTGCCGACGTAAAAAAATGTGAGAAACACTGTGTTAACGTATCAGCCCGGTTTGGTGACGTCAGCAGCATGGTCAGTCAGCTACAAGCGGTCTTACCCTGCCCTACTAACGAATAGACCAGCGGTTCTAAACCCTTTCAGAGGGGTCTCCTAAGACCACCGGAAAACACATATCCATTGAAGCTATGAAGGAAAATAACTGTTTAGGGGTCGCCACAACATGAGAGAACTGTATTAAAGGGTCGCGGCAATAGGAAGGTTGAGAGCCACTAGAATAGATGAACATAATCGAGTTCCGGTCGAAATGGACGCTAGGCGGGCCACTTTTTTGCTTCTGCCGGACGAGGGCGATGCATTTTTGTTCCATTTATATACTGGATATAGTTTCGTCGCCCAGCTTCTGAGTTGAATGCATGGCGTGACACTGTGAGCTGCGGATTTCATTTGGAATGTTTCTTATGACTGACCAACGTGGTGGTGTGAATTGTAGATTCAGATTCGCAATTTTGGTGGTGCCTGTATGTGATTAAAATTGATCGCGTGGGCAACTGCTGATCTGTTGGTGACTTCTGCTTTAATGCGTGTGTATGCTAGACACGCTGAGACAGCAGTCTGTCAATCTTTCCACAAGGGACTGTGATAAACATTCTGTGTGTTTTTCGTTATCACATGAATGGAGCAAAGATGGGGTGACCCGTTTGCTATGAAGCTGAAACTAAGACTACTAGCATCTCTTAATAGATGTGTAGAGTGATTTCAAAGATTCTCAGAATAACTTCGACGAAAAAAGGAGGAGAAATACTGACATCTGGAAAGATCTGAACATCAAGGAAGATTGGCTAATAAACAGCATCCTGTCTCGGAAGCTGAAATATTTTGGTCATATCAAGCGCCACAACGGATTGAAAAAAATTATAGCAGAGGGCATGGTACCAGGAAGGAGGGGCAGGTGCCGACCAACACGAAGATGGGTCCTTGAGTATGAAAGTGCATGAGGCGGGAGAGCTGGCGAGAGACCGAATTTCTTACAGGCAGACCGTGATGAGAGCGACGTTCTGCAAAGGACCTGCTACATGATGATGAGAGTGATTTCACTGCGGGCTTCGGAAAAAAATCAAAATTAAATTCTTCAAACGTGAATTATACAAAAAATATTGTATTTAATTTTACCAAACGATCAATGTAAGCTTAAATATAAGAGTAGTAATTTACAGAAACGTATTGTAATACTATAAATCTATAGACTTTGGGTTGAATACTGCATCCTGCAAAACACTATAGCAGGGATAGCTCAAAATCCAATCAACTTGCACGGAACTCACAGGTTCAAAGGCATAAAGACAGCATTAAAAACATGCGGAGAGGAAAATAAGGTGATAAAGATAGATAGAACACTGAGTGAACCAAGGCAATTAATAGTAAAGGATGGCACGATTTGATGAAAGCATTTTGACGGCCTATTCTTCTTTGGAGGAAAAAAGTACCGAAAAGAACGAAAATAGGAGAGAGATTGTTGCATTATTTGCTGCCGTCATATTTACCTCATACTGCACCTCTGTTTCTGCCTCCGCCTCGCCAAAAGGAATTCCAATACTGAAACTTGCTTTACCCCCAATTGTTATCCCTTTCTGGAAAGTGACCTCAATTTCTGTACGTCGCGTCTTCTCAAAGCGGAACTTGTATAGTTGCTGTTCTGCTGTTTCATTCCGAAACTCCGTGACCAGTGATATGTATTCTGGGCTATAGGGAATAGCAAAATAATTGACTAATTACCTGGCATAAAGTACAAATTTAAAGGATCTTTTTCACGATAGACTCATTTTTATGGGTGATGGGATCCACAAAGCATTCATCATCTTCACTTCCCAGGAAATACCCGATACACCTTTTACCCGAGGTCGACTTGGGAGCCAAGATATTACATTGTAAACAACCGGTCCTGTGCGAATCCAAACATAAGTAGAGTTGAGCTAATTCAAAAACCGACAGCACAGCACTCAGGGCATTCCCATAAGTGCTCCGTTCTCCATCTTTAGCAGCCAACGCAGAGTTCCCATACCAATGGTGTCAGTAACATTATGATTAGGGGGCCGCGTTAGCGCAGTCGATAGGAGACTCGCTTTCAAATCCAGCTGAGACTCGCTACTGAGACTGTGTTTGAAACCGGGCGGTTCCCGTGCTCACCCAGCCTCTAGGTAACGGGTACCAGAGTTAACACTCTGGGGTAAATAAAGGAATGTCGCTGTAGCTACGGAGTTGGGTGCGGACAGCGACACAGGCGGACCGTTTCTTATCAGCTGTTCGTACTGGTAGCAGGGCACGTATGGTTTATAACCGTGTGCAATGACTCTCGTTCCCATCTCCCGACTTTATCTTTTAACAATCTGAGTATATGTTCTTCTTGCCTTTTCCCGAGTATCGGCCAGATTTTCATCGTCACGTCTCGCTGCATCACTCTCACCAGACTGTGATGATCCATTTGCTGCTCCGAATTGTACACAAGCTCCCATTAGACAATAAACACGTCTGCCGTATCAACCATCGGTGTTCCACTAAACTGCAGAGCCAGCAGATCTATCCGCCTGTTCATTTCTCAACAGATAATCTACATCACTTAGTGCTGATTAATTTATAAACAAAAAGAAAAGCCGCAAGAGAAGGAAATGGCTGTATCACCTTAAAATGTAGCCTGGAAAAAATCTAACAGTTCACACTAAAAGACACTTCTGGAAAAGATAAAACAAGTAACAGAATTCTTACCACATATTTGGGTAAATGGTGCTAAATTTTGGAGACCAGTCTGTAATCAAAGTGTGATACAGTTAACAGTATGCATTAAAAAACATAGAATTGCTTTTTTTACTGAAAGACTAATTTAAACTCGTTACTTTATAAAAGATGGTAGTTGTCTTATACTGAGTGCTCATGATTTCATGAAAAACCTAAATGATTGAACTTCCTCCTAGTACATCTTCAGAAGTTCATCTCCACATCTAAATAGTAGAGTGAAAATATATAGAGCAAACGAAAAGTAAAACCAGTAAGCTTCACATTATCACAAATACAAATGACATGTGGACTTTGCGGCTAGAGAGCCTTTATCAAAATATTACATAGATCAACAATACCACAGGTTAAAAACAGGAATATCCTAAATCACTTAGCTGACGTATTCCCGGACATGATTCATATTGCTGTCCGGCCAATGGAGATAAATGGTTTAGCTATTGGCCATGAGCTCTAAAGATAGAGGATTTATTCGTGGACGTCATCGTTATGTAATCACGTATGCAATATTGAGAGAGATCACTATGTAATCGCTGAAGCTACCATGTTCGTGATTTGCGCGAAGCTACTTAGTTTTCAACTAGCTCTTTTACACAGACAGACCCTCAACCACGTAGGTTAAAACGTGGTGGAATGGAGTCGACCATCTCGATCTCAAACCTTTAAAACTGCTCTGAAGGCCCAGCCTTCATATATTCAAAGAAGGCAGCAGTCAATTCAGCTTGTTTTTACCAGTACTAAATGTGTCCTCAAAATTTACTGATGAAAACGAAAACTATTTTCTCTGCTCTACATTTAAAAGACATCTAAAGGAAATGTTAGTCGGCTCTGTGGCTAAGTCGATGCGAACGCTTCGTAATGCCGGGATGCCGGGTTCGATCCCAGCTGCGGGCCATGCGCTGGCTTCGACAGTGGTAGAAAGCCGACCGTCCAGAGGCAATGGCAAACTACTGGACGTAAATTTGCCTAGAAAAACCACAACGTCCTGTAAAGGATACGCAACTAACCTTAACAGGAAATGTTAAGCGATCATTTCTTCCAGTTTCACAGTGACACTCATTATCTCCCATCTATACTTTATTTAGCCAGTGGTATTTCTTTCTTTTAAGTCCGGTTCAGTCTGAAGATTGTTACTTTTTCACCTACAGACAGCTAGATTGTTACTTTTTCAATCTACAGAGAGCTAGATTGTTACTTTTTCATCTACAGAGAGCTGATATTATACACCATCTTTCTGATTTCATTGGTACTCTGGTGCTCATTGAATCTAACTATAAGAATGTCCTCAACATCTATCCAATGCTACTTTTCTCAAAAATGACCTTGACTCCCAGGTCGACCCATCCATAAGTGGGTCCCAGGAACTAAATGCAACCGGCGTTATGCTGACCACATTACCTATCATGTGCCGATTGGTCTATAAAATATAGGTCTACCCCTATATACCCTATACGCCTAAAGCGTGGAAAGGGGACCTTTACTTACTCTATCCAATGCTTATTTGTCAGTAAATGTATGCCCCTAAAACCAGATAGCTAATATATGGTTGAATGGTACTTGTCTGAAACAAGTTAAAGACTTTAAATATCTAGGAAGTGTATTCTCAGAGTCGGCGTCTGTGGCTTAGATATTGCGAACACGCTTTGTAATGCCGAGGTGCCGGGTTTGATAGTTGCTGCGGACGATTTGACCGTTCAGGGGCAATGACAAACTATTGAACGTAAAATTTGCCTTGAAAAACCTCAACAGCCAATAAATGCTGGGGTTGGCTCTGCAACGTCCTGTGAAGAATACGCAACTAATTTAATATTCTCAGAGGACTAGAAAATGGATCGATTTAAAAAAAAAAATGCCAACGAGCCAGTGCACTTATTGCCTTAACTAACACCGTTATTAAAACATCCAAACATTAGTAGCAGCGCCAAAAAGCAAACTGTAGAACTGCATATTTATACCAACACTGTGCTACCAGTGTCAGACTTAGACATTATCAAAGGCTAACGTACGTAAAATTAACACCTGTGAAATGAGATGCTTGAGAAAAGCCGCAGACTTAACCATCCGAGACAAAGTTAGGAACAATGTTATGAGACAAAATGTGGGAAAAAAAACTGTGCAGCAAATTCACTGAGAAAAGGAAAATCGAATGGTTTGGTCATCTAGTAAGAATGCAGCCATAACTACCAACGCAGGCGCTGCACACGAGAAGATCTCATGTGGAAGCAAGAGGTCCCCCTAGAAAACATGGATTGATGACATTAAAGAGCTGCTACATACATAACATAACCCTTGACCCGTTAGGGTCGTGAGCTGTATTGACAGAAGCACTAGTAAATAAAACCCACCATCTGTCCCTGTCTTCCACCCGATACATAAGTGTATAATGGCTTAGTCCTGTCCAACTCTTGATGTTGACATTCCAGGTTCTTCTTTGCCCTCCTCTTCTTCGACTACCCCCGAATGTTTCTTGAAAAGCTTCTACATAGACTTGGAGTGATAATAACCACTGCTGCCCATCTACCAATGGATCTCATGCAGGTCCTTCCCTCGGCGCTTAATGGCAGAAGTGGAAATTGACTATGATGATGATGATAATGATAATGACCATTTACCTGATAACCTACTGGTACAAAAAAAGTCCTTCGATTATTGCACATAAGGAAGCCGCTGTGGTGTTGCGGCTAGATGCTCGCCTGTGGAGTAGAAGGTCGTGGTTTCGGTTTCTCAGGGTACTGAACATTTCTTTTTTTTTTTTAATGACCTTGATTCCCAGGTCGAACCAGGCTTGAACGCGTACCAGGTGCAATCCTGGGAAGTGAAGACGGCTGACGTGATGCTGACATCACCAACCAAGTGCTGATTGGCCTAGAAAAGGTAGATCTAGCCCTATACACCCAATACCCCTGAAGGAGTGGAAAGGGCCCTTAACTTATTGTACATAAATGATTCTCAAATCCGCTTGGTCGCATTATAGGCTACTCTCACTTCAAGTTCTGTTTAGTGTAAATTTTAGAAATGCCACTTCATTGCACCAGACTTTATTCCATGTGCCTCGGTCTCTCTTGGCATAGTGGTAAACTGCCTTTCGAGAGCGTCACACAAAGCCCACAGCACCTGCAACGATCCCTGTATATCTATGTCCATTATTTTATGCCTTAATTTGATTTTTGTCAGCAATTAAAACATAAAATTGATGGGCAACAACCATCAACACCAAACTAACCTCGTGAGTTCCCTTGTAGCAGAGATCTTTTCCTTCAATGAATCAGACTGATGTGTCTCGTCACTGTCATTGGCATTATTAGCTCTAGTGGTGATTGGCGTATTTTTGTCTTCGTTACATTTGATGGTGATCCTTTCGGATGGTGTAATGTAACGCTTAATGTCATCAAAGACAAAGTAATTTTCAGGCACTTCAATGTCAAAATTCTTTCTCTTGAGCATCATGTTCTGCAGTGCTCCTTTCGTGCTGCGGAAACTACACCATGCCCTGTAATATGGCAAACACAGATAACTAATCAATCATTCAGTTTTATTTTCAACAATTTGATAATTGGGAAGACCGACTAATTTAACTATTTTAGTCCCATTAAGTGTGGCAAGGAAAAATCCAAAGTGGCAACCACTATTAAAAAAATCACGCGTGTGTTACTTTCAAGTAGGTTATATACACCGTGAAAATGATCTGGGTAATCCAGGTTTCTTACAATATTTTGGCCAACAGGTAAAGTTAGAGAACATATGCCTCAATGGCGGGAATCATACATCACACTTTGTTTGGAAAGTTAAATCTAATAAGTAAACTGTATGCATCCGAAACACGGAGAACGTCTAATATATATATATATATATATATATATATATATATATATATATATATATATATATATATATATATATATATATATAGTGCATTTCAAAACCCATGCCGTCACACGTTAACAACTATTTAGAAAACTTCTGTACAAATTAACATGAATTTTTGCATTTGGCCTTATATTTGTCCCAGTCCCAATGATTCTATAATTTACAATTGCACAGATGCTACTGTATTTTTTTTAAGCGCAAATTTCGGTAATCTGTTTTTACTTATAATTTTTGCACCCCTGAAAAATAGAATATACAGCAGTTGACAGTGTGGAGATGTGTTTGGAAATCATTTAACATGTGCAGCGATGTGTGGTTATTATTTTGATAGCCTATTCTCCACTCAATGAAAAATAAACAACTGACGGGAGACTTATGCTGGACTGGAGATGATCAACTGAGAGTGAGAGGCATATAGCACGTGCAATTGGGGTGTTGAAAAGTTCCCTTTCTGAATTTACTCAAGCTACTGTAAGCAAGCTGTTTGCTTTGAATTGGTGTCTCTTTTTTCATATATTTTTTCATATACTCTTACATATGTTTTTATATATAAAAGGCACAATGAAAACTTCATGTTTGTTTACATAAAAAAACATAACACTTACAAACAATCACATTATTATTATTAACAGGCTGCATGCAACATTTCAGCAGCTTACATAGAACTGTTACAGAGTTACAGACTTTTAAAGTTCGATAGGGCTTCTGGAGCGTACAATAATGTAATATACAAATTCATTAAAAGATCTTCAGATGATCAACTTCATTGCCTAGGAGTTTAACCCATATGGCTCAGTTTTTGTACATTGATTTTTTTTTTTTTTTGAGGAGGAAGGCAAGAGGAAGACCAAGAAAGAGATGGATAAATGGTGTAGACGAAACATGCAAAAAGTCGAAAGAATCCACTACTCAAGCCACCCGAGAAGCGCAAGACAAATAAAGAAAACCACGACCTAGATTACAACCTGGTAACAGTAAGACGACAAAAAGAAGAAGATTATTGACCTTGGAGTCGTCATCAACGGGCTCAACCCACATTCGATCCTTCTCCACTAGCAAATTTCCTCAGATGTAAATGATGACAGTTCCAGTAGTACACTGGCTACACACATGTCGTAATGTTCTTCTTCCAAGTCCTTTCTAGATATATCAACACGTAATTCCAATCCAAGCAACCATGTTTCATCCAACTTCGTATCTTCTGTCATCATTCGTTCATAAATGGTCTTCAGAATGTCACCCTTGTGTGTATTGTAACAAATCATGTTGCAGTTGGAAATCGAAAAAAGTAGCCTAACGGCGCTGCCGGGGCAAAAGTTGGAGTTAAAAATCTACCCAAAGTATTTCTCTCACATTTTCTTAAGGACACAAACTCCATACTCAGCGGGTAAACTCTTCGGTGTAAACCAGAACAAGAATCGCCATCACATGTCTTCGCAAATGGCACATAAGTAAATTTTTCTCTACGGACCTTTATCCCTAGTGTTCTGGGCGAAATATTTTACCACTATCTGACACCATGCACTGTCATCTCTCTGTTTCTCTCTCTCTCTCTCTCTCTCTCTCTCTCTCTCTCACACACACACACACACACACACACACACACAGACACACACTCACACACTTTCTCTCTCCCTCTCTGTCTTGTCGTTCTAATTTTCTGCATTGTATTTTTTTTAATCATTATATAACCACACATACTCTGGAATTTGATTTTCCTATTATCAACAACTAAAAATTCTAATCTCTTTGCACATTTCCGTATTTCCGGACAATAGTAATATATTGTGAAATGAGCAGGCATGAGACCCACAGACCATGGCGAAGGCGAGTGGGACACAGACCATGGCGAAGGCGAGTGGGACACAGACCATGGCGAAGGCGAGTGGGACACAATTAGAGCATGGAATTTTAGGACCGTTCTTGCCATCATGTGTGTAGTTCGTGTCAGTCACTTCTTCCTTCCTTCACATTCCCTCCCTGATTTGCCCCTTCCTCGCAACAAGGTCCATGGAATTTGGTTCCCATGAATACACTTCAATACCTGTATCATTCATGTCCCGCCTGCACATCTCTTTATATCGTAGTAGAGGTAGGCCTCGACACCGTAAACCCATCTGTAATTCATTATAGAGGATGAGTTATGAATTATGAGTTGGATTATCTTCACAGCACTCGGGACACAACCATAGGAAGAGTGTTCAAAACACACGCCTGATAGACTGAAGTTTTTGTTTTAATAGTGAGCTTTCTGTTCTCCCAAACTCTTCGTTTTAATCTGCGCATTTCTTGTTGCGGCTTACCGATCCTGATGTTTTTTAGGTTTTTTTTCTTTTGGTCCACCGATAGTCCTAATTTTTTCTTTTTTTATTAACATAAATCACCACTATTTGCTGACAAATGGAGGGCTGTTGACTGTAATTGTTGGAGCATATAGAGAGAAGACGAATAAAAAAAGACAAAAACTGTAGGTAAAAGAGCTGAATTAGAGTAGATGACAAGGCGGGCCAAGAAGACGGTGGAGATATGTAGGCAGTTGGGAAGTGCAGCGGTGACGTGATATTTAGGATATAGCGGGTAACCAGTTCGCGTTTAGGCTGGCACAATACCTTATGCAATAATATTGCGCGTGTACGGCCAGCTTATCGCAACTGACCACTTCCCACAACCTCAGACTACAGCTGTAGTGGCTAGTGGTGGTGTTGGCACCTATAGCAGCTGCATTTATGCATTGATGCTTTTACTGCGGATTCTAGATTTTTCAGGGACTAATTGTTTATTTATTAGTTTTCAAAGGGACAGTGAGGGGTATTTCATGTGAGTTTTTTCACTGTCCCAAAAAAGCAGTAATTATAATGCAATCTAATTGTAGTTAAATTTAAATCTCAACTACGACTAAGACAACGACCGTGATGTTTTTCTGGAGTGAGACTTTGGTCAAAACGATCAATCATATCATCATCATCATCATCCTCTTCTTCTTCTTCTTCTTCTTCTTCTTCTTCTTTTATATTACCTATTTCTTCTTTTTTTCCTTCTCCCTTTCCTTCTTTGTCTTCTTCTTCTTTTTCATCATCATCTTCTTCTTCTTCTTAAAAGACATATCACTCTTTTAACACGCTAGAATTAAATGTGAATGGACGCGAGCAAGTTGGAGACAGTAATACCAGTTAAAGGATAACATAAAGAGATGGGGGAAAACGATAGTTTAAGACAGTATACAACCAGGACAAGCGGCAAGGCGGGCTGAAGATGTACTGTAGCCAATCTTCATTCTGGAAACTGCATCTGATTGATTATATCTGCTCACTTGTTTTAACAACGTCGGCTTTACGACTTTATACCTCACTTTCTGAAGTGGACATCTTTTACTTACCTCTCTTTTAAGATCTCAGCTACGTCGACAATCAGAGCCTTTTCGTCCTTAAAAACTGGAGGAGACAAGCAGCAGAACAT